TCCGTTAGTATAAGAAAATAAATCACCACTTCAAGGTACTGTAATGAACTCATTCTTTATTTATATTGGTGTTAAACCTACTGTATTCCAACTTCTCTATGGTTTATAAACTATTTTACTAGCCATAGATTCATCAAAATAAACAAACAACACACGAAAAACAGAATCTGTCAAAAACAGAACAGTCTGTAGTAATCTGAATCAAACATATACTTATGGAACTCATAAAATTCTCAAATAAATTGTTGGACATGAGGAATTTATCTATTAATCATCTGCAAAAATAATTAACTAAATAGAACTTTCCAAATAAACATGGCAGCAATTCTCGTGAGCGCTAAAGTTTCTGTTTTTTACAGCATGATCAACAAGACTTTCCCCGAGTCTTCCCAAAGGTTCTACTTGGTACAAACACTAATTAAAAGCATAAAACCACATCTAAGCAGAGTATAGATGAATTATTTATTACTAAACAGGAACAAAAAGCAAGGAATAAAAATAAAGTTGGGTTGCCTCCCAACAAGCGCTATCGTTTAACGCCCCTAGCTAGGCATGATGATTTCAATGATACTCACATAAAGGATAAGAATTGATACATAAAGAGCATCATGAAGAATATGACTAGCATATTTAAGTCTAACCCACTTCCTATACATAGGGATTTTGTGAGCAAACAACTTGTGGGAATAAGAATCAACTTGCATAGGAAGGTAAAACAAGCATAACTTTAAAACTTTAAGCACATAGAGAGGAAACTTGATATTATTGCAATTCTTACAAGCATATGTTCCTCCCTCATAATAATTTTCAGTAGCATCATGAATGAATTCAACAATATAACTAGCATCTAAAGCATTCTTTTCATGATCTACAAGCATAGAATATTTACTACTCTCCACATAAGCAAATTTCTTCTCATGAATAATAGTGGGAGCAAACTCAACAAAATAACTATCATGTGATTGAAAATTAAGATCAAGATGACAAGTTTCATGGTTATTATTATTCTTTAAAGCATACGTGTAATCACAATAATCATCATAGGTAGGAGGCATGCTTTCATCATAATAAATTTGCTCATCAAAATTTGGGGGACAAAAAATATCATCTTCATCAAACATAGCTTCCCCAAGCTTGTGGCTTTGCATATCATTAGCATCATGGATATTCAAGGAATTCATACTAACAACATTGCAATCATGCTCATCATTCAAATATTTAGTGCCAAACATTTTATAGATTTCTTCTTCTAGCACTTGAGCACAATTATCCTTTCCATCATACTTACGAAAGATATTAAAAAGGTGAAGCGTATGGGACAAACTCAATTCCATTTTTTTAGTTTTCTTTTATAAACTAAACTAGTGATAAAACAAGAAACTAAAAGACTCGACTGCAAGATCTAAAGATATACCTTCAAGCACTCACCTCCCCGGAAACGGCGCCAGAAAAGAGCTTGATGTCTACTACACAACCTTCTTCTTGTAGACGTTGTTAGACCTCCAAGTGTAGAGGTTTGTAGGACAGTAGTAAATTTCCCTCAAGTGGATGACCTAAGGTTTATCAATCCGTAGGAGGCGTAGGATAAAGATGGTCTCTCTCAAGTAACCCTGCAACCAAATAACAAAGAGTCTCTTGTGTCCCCAATACACCCAATACAATGGTAAATTGTATAGGTGCACTAGTTCGGTGAAGAGATGATGATACAAGTGGTATATGGACAGTAGATAAAGGTATTTGCAATCTGAAATTATAAAAACAGCAAGGTAACAAGTGATAAAAGTGAGCGTAAACGGTATTGCAATGCTAGGAAACAAGGCCTAGGGTTCATACTTTCACTAGTGTAAGTCCTCTCAACAATACTAACATAATTGGATCATAAAACTATCCCTCAACATGCAACAAAGAGTCACTCCAAAGTCACTAATAGCGGTGAACGAACGAAAAGATTATGGTAGGGTACGAAACCACCTCAAAGTTATTCTTTCCAATCAATCCGTTGGGCTATTCCTATAAGTGTCACAAACAGCCCTAGAGTTCGTACTAGAATAACACCTTAAGACACAAATCAACCAAAACCTTAATGTCACCTAGATACTCCAATGTCACCTCAAGTATCCGTGGGTATGATTATACGATATGCGTCACACAATCTCAGATTCATCTATTCAACCAACACATAGAACCTCAAAGAGTGCCCCAAAGTTCCTACCAGAGAATCACGATGAAAACATGTGCCAACCCCTATGCATAGGTTCATGGGCGGAACCCGCAAGTTGATCACCAAAACATACATCAAGTGAATCACGTGGTATCCCATTGTCACCACAGATACGCACGGCAAGACATACATCAAGTGTTCTCAAATCTATAAAGACTCAATCCGATAAGATAACTTCAAAGGGGAAACTCAATCCATTATAAGAGAGTAGAGGGGGGAGAAAACATCATAGGATCCAACTATAATAGCAAAGCTCGCGATACATCAAGATCGTATCATCTCAAGAACATGAGAGAGAGAGATCAAACACATAGCTACTGGTACATACCCTCAGCCCCGAGGGAGAACTACTCCCTCCTCGTCATGGAGAGCATCGGGATGATGAAGATGGCCACCGGAGAAGGATTCCCCCTCCGGCAGGGTGCCGGAACGGGTCTAGATTGGCTTTCAGTGGCTACGGAGGCTTCTGGCGGCGGAACTCCCGATCTATTGTGTTCTCTGATGTTTTTAGGGTATATGGAGATATATAGGCGGAAGAAGTACGTCAGGGGGGCCACGAGGGGACCACGAGGGTGGAGGGCGCGCCCCCTGCCTTGTGGCCTCCTCATAGATCCCCTGCCGTGCACTCCAAGTCTTCTGGGCTTCTTTTCTTCCAAAAATGAGTTCCGTGAAGTTTCAAGTCAATTGGACTCCGTTTGATTTTCCTTTTCTTTGAAACCCTAAAACAAGGTAAAAACAGAAACTGGCACTGGGCTCTGGGTTAATAGGTTAGTACCAAAAATGATATAAAAGTGTATAATAAAGCCCATAAACATCCAAAGTTGATAATATAATAGTATGGAACAATAAAAAATTATAGATACGTTGGAGACGTATCACGCGTAGACGATGGCCGTAAGGGGCCGCCTATCGCGCAAGGCCGCCGGATCGGTGAAGGAGCCGGCCGGTCGCGACGGTGACGGAGTAGAGGCGCGCGGGGGTCAATGGCGGCAGTGGGTGACGCAAACCGATCAAATGGATCGAGAATCAAAAAGTAGACGCCGATCAAAGCGACCGGCGAGAGAGAATCAAATGATCGGGAAAAAGACTCTCTAGAGCAGCTGGTCGACAGGACCGGCGGACGAACCCTAGATACGGGCGGCGCGGCCCCGGTGACGGTCATGAAGGCCGACCGCCCCGGGGGCGGCGCGCGGTGGGGAAGCGAAGGGCGGCTTGGGTTTAGAACCCGGAAACTGATACCATGTTAGAAGGGAGAGATAGGTTTGGTGGAATAGTTGTTGTATTGCTTGAGCCTCGTGGGCATATATATGAGTACAGTGATTTATTTGAAGTACAAGACAAGCCAGAACAAATCCTAATCTATTTCATCTTTCCTAATAATCAATGTACTCAACACTCGTAACAGTTTCAGCTAAATATTCAGAATCGTAGAACAAATTCAGAACAAGCAGAGAAACAGACAAGAGCATACGTACAGTACTATTGATTGATGGCTTTCTATACTTTTGGTAGTAATTTTTATCGCTTTGGGTGGTAGTTACAAATGCCAGAAGAGTAATGTGCATAGTTGATTGGCGGTGTGAACTCCGGGTCACTCGGACGAGCACATCAGCCACAAATAATGTTCAAAGCATAGGAATTGACTGAATGTGGGTTCATAACACAACAAGTCCACACAAGTTCAGTCAAATTCAGTTGAGTTGCAACCAATCAGGAGTACGTAGTACACAAGAAGTGCTCCATGGAGCAAATGCAAGCGCGGGTGCAAGTCTGCAACAAATGTGTACTTCTGGTTCCTCAAGTCGCGGTCGACGTTCGTCAGCTGCTCTGGCGCCTCCTCGACCGTCCGCGGCGCCGTCTCAAACACCTTGGTGCCAACAATCAGTATTCAGTAACCAGCCAGTTCATGCCATCCACAGTTCACACGTCGATCCATCGATCGACAAATCTTATTAAGTTTACAGATATTATGATGATTAATTAACAGCAATCAGGAATTGATGCTGAATTCTTGCAGAGTAGTCGATCAAAAGTGTGTAGTCAAATGCTGTAACAGTCCATAGCCTGAAACCAACATCCGTAGCACGATGCAGCAGCTGTGGACTGCCAAAGTGAGTGTAACGATCTTGAGCTCATCATGCCACAACTTTGCTTCCCAGAACTGACAAGGATGCCACGCGATAAAGTGTTGTAGAAACTAGTCTTAGAAATCCTCACCAGTAGCAAAAAAATTCTCACTGAAGCAAACCAAAAATGTAGTAGAAGAACAGAACAGGAACTGGAAAAGAGAGATGTGATGTTCTGTACTTCTGCTGCTATGGGCATGGAAATCGCAGATGCATGACCTTTTTCGTGTTGCTTCCTAGCTCAATATACAGGCGCAGTTGTTCTCTGAATAAATAAAAATGTTTGCGCTTTGTAGACTGATTTTGTATATATTTGGTGCATCTTCTTGAGCTAACTTTTACAAACACAGAGCTGCAGAAGACAGAGATGATCTCTGAAATTAAACAAAAAAATTGGTTTGGGTGATAATTTTCACCGGTTGATGAATAGAAGGGGTTCTGAAGCGAATTTTGAGAGCATGTTTGAGCTGGCATGCAAAGTGTACAAGAACAGAGCCGGCACGTGCCCTTCACTTCCCTTCCTCACTCATCGGCCTCCTCCCTCTCCCACTCGCTCACTCGCTCACTCGCTCGCTCACTCACGCGCGCGCACGGAGAGCTAGCCAAAGGAAGGGAAGAGGAACTGCCATTTCGGGAAAGGAGGAGGGGGATCCATGGCCGCCGGCGACGTCGCGACGGTGTTCCTCGAGATGAGCCTCGGCACCCGCCTCGCCGTCTCCTTCCCCGCCTCCTCCACCACCGTCGCCGACCTCAAGCGTACGTACCCCTTTTCTTTGAGCTCTTCTTTGCTTGTCTACCTGGCTGTATGTCTCGCTTCAAGATGCGATGAACAAGTCCTCCTGCATCTAGAACAGATCTTGCATTTTGCTTCTTTCTCTTGGTTTCAAATCGAGTCAAAATCAATTCGGACAAAACCCCAATCTTCATTTATTTCACTTTTGTTTGCGGGGAAAAACCCCAATCTTGATTTAATTTCCTTGTTCGGGTTACCAGGCAGAGTGAGCCATGAGCACGCCGCATGTTTCCCCCACCTTGGCCAGATCGCCGTCCAATCCATCAAGGTATGGACGCATCACTATCCATCCAATTCATCAAGGAATTTGGCTGATCCGTCAACTTTAACATGGCCGCGCGCTGATCAATGTTGCTGCTGCTGCTGTCTTGACTCTTGAGCAGATCGAGCACGGAAGGTCGTGGTTCCACCTCGCCGACTCCATGGCCGTCCGGGACGCTTTCCTGTTCCAAGGGATCAACGAACGCTGGCACCTGCAGGTAGACGCATCTCTGCAAGTTGACCAAGGGATGGTCACCCAGGGACACAGCGGCGGCGCAGACTCTGCAAATCACTCTGCACCTGCGCCTGGTCGTGGCCATGGATGCGAGGGGTCGTCGAGCAGGAGGTGCCGCAAGACATCAAGCTCTGATGAGATGCTGCCTGATCAGGTTGAAGCTGAAGCTCAAGCTCAAGTCACCCCCAGTGAAAGGGAGCAGCCATTGACAGGCAAGGGCGAAGGAAGCAGCGACGGGGCAGAACAAGACAGAGAGCAGGGGGCATGGGGGAGAAGGCTGCGGCCGAGGACCCATGTTGGTAAAACACCAATTACTTTGTCAAGCGGCAGCAGCAGCAGCTCAGAGTCGGAGGAAATGGACACCAACACCGTCGGCGGCGGCAGCAGCAGCAGCTCCGAGTCGGAGGAAATGGACATCAACACCGTCGTCGACGCGCCGGCGCCGCAGTTCGTCGTCGAGCTCAAGAAATGCCACTTTGTCAAGCAGAATGGGCAGTACCTGGTGAGCGTCTCTTCACTCTCTACTCGATCCCACGCGCAGTTCCGTTCTTCTGACCAACTCCTTCCGTCTCCGCCTCCGACGGACGCAGAACGTGCCGATGGAGTTCGGCATTGTGCACCGGTACACGGAGAAGAAGAAGGTGCTGCTGCGGATGGGGGGCGACTCGTGGGCCGTCAGCCTGAAGCACGGCCTTACGTCTACCGGCAGGCCCCGCACGTCCCTCCGGTACGGGTGGCAGCAGTTCCGCGTCGACAACCGCCTCCGCGTGGGCGAGACCTGCTTCTTCCGAGCCCTCCCCGGGGACGGCGGCGGCGATCACCATGTGCTCAAGGTGGAGGTGCGCAGGCTAGACGGCAGCTACGCCACCTGACGTGCCTCCATTGATCCGTTGCCATCTCAAGGACCTCTTAAATTAGAGTGCAATGCATTGCATCGTCGTTGTGGCCCAAGATTAATACGGACGTTGCTCCTTCTACTTGTGTTTCGCTTGGATGCGCATGCTACTTTCTATCAACTTTTCTATTTCCCTAATTGTTAGATTCGTATGACAATCTGTTGCGCTGGCTATCTGTACGTGGAACCTAAAAATGTATTGTGCTAGCTTGCTATGTAGTGTCAACAAATGTCTTACATTATGGGACGAAGGGAGTAGCTTCTATCCATGAAGACCGAAGATTGTGTTGTGCTTTTATCCATGGAGACTGAAGATTGTGTTGTGCTTTTATAGAATGCTTTGTGACAATGCATTGTGATAGCCTCAACGTGTAGAATATGAAGATGTGATCTCACCTTCTGTCTCTCTATCATGTCTATGTCATTCTTTTTATGAGGATTCTGAACTGTTCTAGTTCACGAACCAGGAAGTTGCTCTCCGTGAAGGCGAAGTATAAATGGTGTTTGCGCACCTTTGCATTTGTGCATGCCTAAAAACGGGAGGAATTTATAATTTTGGCAACAAACTGCAGAGGGTTGAGTGTTACTTTGTTGCTTTGTACAAAATTAGGAAGAATTCAACCTACGACGATGACAAAATTACATATGACCATTTCACAACCCATATGCCCATCCCGATGAATTCAAACCTAGCCATTAGAAATTTTTGACATGACCTATGCTTAACTTTGGACTTCTGAATCGCATAGCAATTGGCTCATAAGTAAAAAAGACTGAATTGCATAATTAACATCTCAAAGAGATTCGTGTTTGCACCAACAAGGGAGATATAAATATAAATGTTGTATATGCAACAAGGGAAATATAAATGTTGTATCGCGTACCCTAAGCATGTGACAATGGCCGGGTCGGCAAAGCGGAACGTCACGCTGCCGGTGTGCAACGTGTTCGGCATGCCGCATGAAAATACAAACTTATAGGAAATGCAACCTCCTTAACCAAAAAAAAACACCCTGATTCGCACAAGACAAGACGCCTTGACCTCTCGGGTCTGTTGCCCACAACCCAAGACGGCTCGCGCGGAGGAAACAACCCGACATGCCGTGAATGAGGCTGCACCCTCCCGTACACGGGTGGGACCAAGAGTACTGATAGGCAGGGCCCGTGCGTGAGCCAGCAACGCGAAGGCCACACAATCTCCGACTAGTGCAGGCAAATCTGCCCGGTAGAAGGTGACCACGTGCAAGCCATCACCCGCGGGCGTGATATATGCCCCTGCTGGCGCGACCGATGGAGCCCCGTGGGGAGTGGGGGGTGGGGGCGATGGACGCTGACAGGTGGGTCCGTCCTCCCCATCATGCGTGGGTCGTCGCACGCGGGCGCAACCGAACCCACAACATGACAATGGCCCGGGGCGCCCCCGCGGGCACCCGTCATGGGCCCCCGAGGCACATCACCGAGGGTATGCCGCCCGGACAGATCAGGTGGCATAAAGAGCCCTAGAGAGGCACCCGTGGCACACCACTGCGCAATGGACGGCGCGGAGAGCCTCAGGGAGGCACTTGCGGCACACCGCCGCGCAGTGGACGGTGCGGAGGGCACTCTTGCCAGTAGACGCCCTCAGGAGACGAGTACTCTAGCATCCTTTATAGGAGTAATGGGCAATACAAAATTGCCTAACAAAGACTAAGCTCATGTTGCTCAAACACTAGGAGAGACGTGTGACGCCCCCGATTTAATCGTATACTAATCATACACGCAAATGTGTACGATCAAGATCAAGGACTCACGGGACGATATCACAACACAACTCTACAAATAAAATAAGTCATACAAGCATCATATTACAAGCCAGGGGCCTCGAGGGCTCGAATACAAGAGCTCGATCATAGACGAGTCAGCGGAAGCAACAATATCTGAGTACAGACATAAATTAAACAAGTTTGCCTTAAGAAGGCTAGCACAAACTGGGATACAGATCGAAAGAGGCGCATGCCTCCTGCCTGGGATCCTCCTAAACTACTCCTGGTCGCCGTCAGCGGGCTGCACGTAGTAGTAGGCACCTCCTGAGTAGTAGTAGTCGTCATCAACGGTGGCGTCTGGCTCCTGGACTCCAGCATCTGGTTGCGACAACCAGAAAGAAAGGAAAGGGGGAAAAGGGGGAAGAAAGCAACCGTGAGTACTCATCCAAAGTACTCGCAAGCAAGGAGCTACACTACATATGCATGGGTATCAAATGGAATAAGGGTATCATATGTGGACTGAACTGCAGAATGCCGGAATAAGAGGGGGATAGCTAGTCCTGTCGAAGACTACGCTTCTGGCAGCCTCCGTCTTGCAGCATGTAGAAGAGAGTAGACTGAAGTCATCCAAGTAGCATCGCATAGCATAATCCTAACCGATGATCCTCCCCTCGTCGCCCTGTGAGAGAGCGACCACCGGTTGTATCTGGCACTTTGAAGGGTGTATTTTATTAAGTATCCGGTTCTAGTTGTCATAAGGTCAAGGTACAACTCCAAGTCGTCCTGTTACCGAAGATCACGGCTATTCGAATAGATTAACTTCCCTGCAGGGGTGCACCACATAACCCAACACGCTCGATCCCATTTGGCCGGACACACTTTTCTGGGTCATGCCCGGCCTCATAAGATCAACACGTCGCAGCCCTACCTAGGCACAACAGAGAGGTCAGCACGCCGGTCTAAATCCTATGGCGCAGGGGTCTGGGCCCATCGCCCTTTGCACACCTGCACGTTGCGAACGCGGCCGGAAGCAGAACTAGCCCCCTTAATACAAGAGCAGGCTTACGGTCCAATCCGGCGCGCGCCACTCAGTCGCTGACGTCACGAAGGCTTCGGCTGATACCACGATGTCGAGTGCCCATAACTGTCCCCGCGTAGATGGTTAGTGCGTATAGGCCAGTAGCCAGACTCAGATCAAATACCAAGATCTCGTTAAACGTGTTAAGTATCCACGAACACCGACCAGGGCCAGGCCCACCTCTCTCCTAGGTGGTCTCAACCTGCCCTGTCGCTCCACCACAAAGTAACAGTCGGGGGCCGTCGGGAACCCAGGCCCACCTCTACCGGGATGGAGCCACCTGCCCCTTCAGCCCCCATCTCCAAACAGTATCACCGGTAATGTAACAGTGTAAAGTATATAGTATATGCCCATGATCACCTCCCGAAGTGATCACGGCCCAGTAGTATAGCATGACAGACGGACAAGAGTGTAGGGCCACTGATGGAACACTAGCATCCTATACTAAGCAGTAGGATAGCAGGTAATGGTAACAACAGTAGTAGCAAGGACAGGCTATGCCTCAGGATAGGAATAACGGAAAGCAGTAACATGCTACACTACTCTAATGCAAGTAGTATAGAGAAGAGTAGGCGATATCTGGTGATCAAAGGGGGGGCTTGCCTGGTTGCTCTGGCAAGAGAGAGGGGTCGTCAACATTGTAGTCATACTGGGTAGCAGCGGTGTCGGTCTCGATGTCTAGCGAGAGAAGAGGGGGAAGAAACAATAAATATATCGCAAACAAATGCATAACATGACAAGGCGTGATGCTAGGTGTGCCACTAACGCGGTACGAGGTGGTACCGGTGAAGGGGGAAACATCCGGGAAAGTATTCCCGGTGTTTCGCGTTTTCGGACAGATGAACCGGAGGGGAAAGTTGCGTGTTCGATAGGTTAGGGATGTGTGGCGGACAAATGGGATGCGTATCCGGAATCGTCTCGTCGTTCTGAGCAACTTTCATGTACAAAATTTTTCCATCCGAGTTACAGTTTATTTTATATGATTTTTCGAAGATTTAAACAAATTCTGGAATTTCTGAATTTAATGTAATTCGAAATAATCAAAAGACAAACTGCTATGGGTACACATGAGTGTACCCAGCAATGTGTATATACATATGACATGTGGGGCCAGGGGCTGGGTTGACCCAGTCAACATTTTGACTAGTCCAAAGTGAATAGTGTATGTGGGCCCCTTTGTCATTGATAGAGTTTAACTAAACACGATTAGTTAGTTTGATAAGTGATTAGGTTAATTTAACAGACTTAATTAAGTTAATTAACAGGATTAATTGAGTAAATTAATTAATTAATTAGTTTTTTATATTTTTTTTAACGTCCTGGGGTGTGGGGCCCCCATGTCATAGACTCAGGGGGCATAGCGGGCGTTGGGCACGGGCGCCGTGGAGCGAGGCAACCGGGGCTGCGGCGGGGCACCGGCCACGGCGATGGCGCGGTGGCCGGCAGGGTGGCCGCGGGGCGGATGCGGGTCGCCGCCGGCAAGGTCAGGTGGACCGGAGCAAGTAGCAGGCCGTGGGCACTGGCGCAGGAGGCGAGCGGCGGGCGAGTCAAGTCGGCGGGCGTCCGCGGCAGGCATCGGCGGCCCGAGGCTGGAGCGGCAAGGCGAGGACGACGAGGGTGGCTGCAGGGACCGAGGAGCGAGGCCATGCACTGGGCACGGCCGACGAACGGCGGCAGCAGCGCAGGCGGGCGACACGCAGCGGTTGGGAGGTGCAGGCGCGTCCGGGATGGCCCCGGGTCGCGGTGAGCGCGGCGGGCGCAGGGAGAGGGAGGGAGCGAGGCTCACGGCGGGGTGCAGGGTTCGTGGCAGCGGGGGTCGGGGTGGTGGTCGGAGACGTCGGCGTCGACGTAGACAAAGCAGACCGGCGAGGGAGCACTCCGGGGCGAGGAGCTCTGGCGGCGGCGACGTCCGGTCGCAAGGCGGGGTGGTCGGCATCAGGTAACGGGGCGCCGGCGAAGCGAAGTAGAGGTGCGGGGCGGAGGCGGCCATCCTTGGGCGCGGGCTCG